GATGAAATTTTTTCACTCCCACCCTAGTTCAGAGGCAATTCTAGCTCACTGGTACACAGACATAAAGCAAACTTTCGATTCTAATGACAGATGACATGCAGCATAACATTAAAAAAGGTATCTCACTCTGTGCTCGGGCCGCTCTATATCGAGTAACTCTTTGGAGTGAAATCGCATTACCAGGCGGTGCCATATGAGACAGGGTTCAAAAGGCTCTAAGAGCTAGCCATTTTGATCAGTGTAGGTTTTCAATGTGCTATTTAAATGGGTTCGGCGATTTAAAATTTGGCAAAATGTTTTGATCTACGCGGGATATTTATATAGGTATTTTGGTATTTTTGGTATTTTGGCGGGATGTGTAGGTATTTTGAGTGACTATGCTATCTCCAATGTCTCTTACGGAATTGCGCAATATAATGCGACTGAGAACAGTGTGTGATTTTTTTAACGTCTATTAAACGACGTTTGTGATTTCATTTGAATGTTAGCTTTATGTGTGTACACTGATAAATGCCCATGGCTATATATATATATATATATATATATATATATATATATATATATATATATATCCGTTTTTGACTCACCCGTCAATCACTGACAGTGAGACATTGGGAAGTGGACGGGGTCCTCGTGGTTGCAGGGTTCCGCGTTAAAGCCAACGGGAAATAATGCGTTGTACCAGAGACTGCTTATTCCTGGACATCTATGAGTTTATCTTACGAACTAAGCATCGTCCGATGTTTCAGTTTCTACCATTGAACCCGACATCATATTTACTCTCTGGAATTAAGGCTTTCATACTTCCTTGCGCAAGATCATGTTGAGATATGATACGATCTGAACTCTGGCTCAGTCGCCTTGTTCCTTTCACATGAAAACTTGAATGCAGGTGGCACGCACATTCGACGAAAAGAGGCTTAAATCGTTTTCAACAAGTCAGTTGACACTTTTATCTGCCTAACATATGTCTCAAATTCGGTCACACCGAGAAAAAAAGAAGTTTTTGATAGCCGGTGGAAAGTCGAAGAATGTCTTCGATATCTGGGATGCACCACACAGGAAACGCTTTTGGAGAAAATAAAAAGGGTCAGATTTTTTTCACGTCGTGCGGCCGCGTGTTAAAGTGAACGAGAAATAATGCATGGCACCAGAAACTGATTATTTGCAGACAATTAAGTTTATCTTTTGAACAACGCTTCATTCAAACAAGAAGTTGACACCAACCGACCCGGCTCTACATTTGCTGTCTGAAACTGTGCCAATTATGCCTGCTTTCGGAACGCCATTACGTGACCTGATATGGCTGCACTCGAGCTCAGCCGCCTTACTTCTGTGACCTGAAAGCTTGGATGCAGTTATGTACATTCGACAAAAAGCCTTAAATTTGTGTCAAGATGTCGGTTGACACTCTTGTCCAGCACCACGTGTTAGACTTGTCCTTCCTGAGCACCGGTCTAACGTTCGGTGACCTCTAGAAGTCACTGTTTTTGGTACCCCGTGAAAACGGGATATGTCCTCGCTGTCTGGGATGCTCAACGCTTGTGATGATGTACCTATGCAGCGTAGCAAAAATCAAAGGAGCGGGATTTTTAGGCTGTTGTGTGCTGTGCTTCACTGAATAGGTAATAATGCAATATACAAAAACTAATGGTTAATTCATAAGAAAATCAGCAAATTCTCGATCTGTTTGGGTTAGAGTGATGTAGACTTTTATAATGTGCTGAAAGAAATCGTTCCACATTTGAAAATACCGGAGCAAACACCAGATACCATGAAATAAGCTCCCTTATATTTACTGATGCGCTTTTAAGTTGAAAGACTGCTCTAGACAACACAATTTATCTAATTAGTAAATATGCTCCTCAACACGTCATTGCTTAATCACCTCATCGTACCTTGCACAACACTGATTGGGAACTAATTGAAGGCCGATTCATCTGGAAATGGTGCGCACAAACGTCAAATGTGGACAACTCGACGATTGTACTTTTTGGTGTTGATCGTTGCGTGCCTAATAGAATTGCAGGCTTTGAACGACGGTATTATGACGTCATAGATGCCCGAGTGACCTTGAAATAGTGCCCTCGAAATAGTCTGCAGATCTTCGCGGGCGTGTAGCTCAGAATTTAGAGCGGTCCAGGCCTTAGGAAGGGCAGGTCTGTGAATTGCTTTGAATGATCCAGATGGCTAGTTCAGCTCAAAACCCATACAAATGTGGAACACTCCCTTTGACATGCAGGATCGGATGATATATCGCGTGCACCTTGTTTGCTAACAGTTAAGAGCTGACCTTACATGACCTCTAGAGGTCAAACTTCTCTGTCCCAGAGAAGCCTTTACGTGAGTTGTCCGCGAACATTGAACTATTCTGATGGAAGTGACGTGGCTAGGTAAAGCCATCTGTAGATGATTGTTTTACGGGTACTTGTGTACAGTGAAGACGGTTGTGCGGAGGCGTAAAGGAAACGCTTTTACGTCCCAGCGGGAGCGTAACCATCGCCGAAATGGATGCATTCCGGCCACCAGGAACATGAGCCAACAAACAACAAACGTTGCTTGGCTCCTTCGCAGTGGGAAAACCCTCAGTATGGCGGAAGTGATGATGCATAATCCAGCCTTCGCGTTGCAAAGAAATCTTAAGAGTTTTAAAACTGCGACCTTCCACTTGAACCTTCGGCTGCAAGATAAACTACGCAGTATATGACGATGCCATTGCTTTGTGCTACGCCTTATGCGTGAGCAATCCAGTCTCAGATGCACAAAACTGGAACAAAACGGTAGCTGGAACATTATGCACATTGAAAGACTACCGATGTCCCATGGACACTCTGTATCCTTGCTGAGGTCATGTGATCGTTTGTGACGTATGGCATGATGCTAAAGCTGGAGCTTTAGCATCGAGAGAAATCGGACTATTCGAAGACACTTCCTCTGTCTCTTGTCCCCATCTCTCCGGAGACAGCGATGACGGAACGTGTGCATACCACAGAACGGCCGAATTATGAGGCCACTGCGACTCTTCGCACCGAATTCTACCACCAGTCAGCAATCACTACTTCTGGATCTCTCACCCTACACTACCGTATCCACATTCACGATCAGTCGATGAAGGATAGTCATTCCATCGGTCATTGTGGGCTTCCAGCCTGACAGTGTCCCCGCAATTCGATGTTCCATTCACGGACGACCAAATTTTCCGCTGCTCTCGGTGTCTTTCGGAGCCTCGGCGAAGACATTTCGGCCTCCATAGCACCTTTTGATGTGGCGACTTTGGCATAGTGGCCCGCAGTGTCGAGACCGCCCGCGAGTGGCAGCACCTCCTTTTGAGGAGCTTAAGGAGGTGATGAATCGGCACGCAGTCCGGCCCGCAAAGCGCCCGCAGCGCTTGTTGACCGTCGCCCACTGGCCGCCGTTCAGCCGTCCAATGACAAACGACCGATGACAAGCGGCCGTTAGCAAACGGCCGATGGCAAATGAGTCCGTCCAGCCTGTCGCCAGACCGTCGCCGGGGACGACCATAAACGGCCCCCGGCCGAGCGGCGCTTCGCCGGCGTGGGGCTCCCATTCAGGCCCGCTGTATCAGAGCGGGCACCGCACGCTGGCCGGTCGATGTTCGCCGGTTTGAGGACCACTGCAGGAGGTGCGGTAGGGCCGGGTGGGGTAGGCCAGACAGCGGTCACGGCGCAGCCAATCACGTGAGGCTGCGCAGGCTGGCGCGTTGAGCTGGTGCCGACGACCCAGAAGAGTGTGGGGGTCGCAAACGTCCTCTCGATTCTTACCGTGCCAGCTAGAGTTCAAGGTGGAGGGTGACCTTGCGGAGGTCAATGTCAGCTTCCATAGTTACTAACAAAACACTTCACGTAAGAACGTTTATTTAGGAAACTGGGCATTCGTCACTCATGATTCCACCAGCAACCTGTCGAGCCGACTATTTAAAAGGTTTGTTTCCAACCAAGGTACTCATATTATTTTCTTGAATATTTTCTTCGTCAATAACACGTTTTGTCTCTGCCTAGCTATTTCAACGAACTAAGTACCATATACAAAGTGGCTGAAGACTGTGTGGTAAGGACATCCAGCCTTTGGATGGCCAGTGAGTGGCGTGCAGGACAGTTCAGAGGCAGTGAATACAAAATGGTATGCCACATCACAGTTACACCATGGGGAACCTTAGAAATGTGTGGATGCAGGGGCTGTGATACAGGAGCATGGACATGTCAATAATAATTCACAGGTTGAAACGTGAAAGAGGCGCTGCTATATTAGTTGAAATGCTTGTAATCAGTCAGCTAAAAGTGTGGTAACCTTATTGCCATTGCGATCCAGCGTCTGTAGCTTCATCCGGCGGGCCCGGGTGCATATTTGCTACCACATTTGCGCATCAAGCTGGTGCAGTGCACAAATAAACTATTAATCCATCGATTTTCGACCACTAAAGCAGCATCGAATACTAACATGGGTCACGTAACTAAAAGTAACTGAAAAACACGACTGCTGAAACGCCAAACTTTTAAAGAAAACAACAAACTCTGAACGGTAACAGGACGACCCACCCACATGACATTCCCGAATGTAAGAAATGCAATCCAGGCAATTAGCGTTGCAATAATATCTCACATAACCTTACATGGCACGGACAGATAAAGCCCGAACAACTGGAATACTGCGGTGCTCGCCACCGACGCCACTTACATTATCAGCGTCCGCAGCGTCGGTCGCCTGGAGTGCTCCAGGCGACCGAGGGCGTCCGGCCGACGTCAGGGGCGTCGCGCGGTCCTCGGGAGCGGTCCCGCGCAGCAGCTAACGGCCCCCTGCCCCCCCCCCCCCCCCCCCTCCCCACACCCAGACGTCGTGACCGGACCACCGGAACGGCCCGGACCGGCGCGTCTGCCAGGGGGTCCAGCGAGCCTCGCCACGAGCCGAGGCCTCCGCCGGCCGCGCCGGAGCCGGACCGCAGCGGCCAGCGCACGAGCCCGGCCCAGCCCTCACGCGCCGCGCGCACGGCACCGATCAGCGGCAGCGAGCCGGTGCGGTCTTTGTACGGCAGGTGACGATCACAGCCGAAGCTTGGGCACGGCGGCCACGCCAGTCGCCGCCGCCCTCGCGCTGGACAGGGCTCCGTGCCCCCGCAGCCGAACGCCGCCTCGCCGTGCACCCCTCCCCAGACAGAGACATCCCCAACCCACGTAAAGCGGACGAGCATGTACAGCTCGCAGAAGATCCCCCTCCCCACCCCGAAACACGCCGACGACCTCCCTATCACAACGGGACTCTGGAGCACAGCCTCTCCCTGCGACCGCCGCAGCCCGGCGAGCACCGACCGCCGCGCGCTCCGGCACGTCGCAGCGGCGGCTGCGCCTGCGACTACACTACGTAACAGGGCCGGGTCCGCCGCTGAGATCAGGCACGGCGGCGGTCGCGCCCCTACGACTTGGAGAGGGCGGCCTTGAGCGGCGGCGGCTTGGCGGGCGTTGGCACGGTTCCTGAGGAGTCGTCGCCGCGCTGGCGGAATGGTGGCCTCGAGAAGGCCGAGCCGAGGCTGGGCTTCAGCTCGAACACGGCCGGCTTGATGAGCGGGTCTAGCGGCACCGGCCTCCTGCGCACGGGGGTGACGCGGTCAGACGGCTCGCGGCGGCGTCCGGCGGCGCGGCGCTGCCCCGCGCGCGACTCACGCCAGCGTCCGGTCACCGCTGCGCCTCAAACGACACATCTCGATCGGCCCAGCGCCCACCAGAACGACAACATATTTAAATAACTTGATTATTTCTGATGGCCCGAGGGTAGCTTCGTGAAACACCCACTGCACGCAACGTCTGTTTACAAGTCGCCTTGCCATGAGCTCACAGCTAACTCGAAATTTCTAAGACAACTGGGGCCATTAGACGGGAAGACTCCGCAGCAAACTCGTTTGAACCAAGCCTCCTCGATACAGAATACATCTGTCAGCTTTAGTATGAGCTTCAACTTAAGCCTTCTTAAAAAAAAACACTCATCTTGTCCCACCGCGACAAATATGAGTTCCCCCGCAGCTTTACACCTTGTGCACCAGCCGCCATCTTACATACCATACACGGGCCCGAGATGGGCTCGCACGCAGCCACACCTTGTATTTGCCATTGACTCACCCACAAGCTCCGACTTCGTTTTTCCAGGGTTCTGACGTAGACTCGTCCATAGTCTCTCACCGTGCATTTCAGTGAAGCTGAGGCAGACTCGCCCATAGTCTCTCACCGTGTATTTCAACGGAGCTGGGGCAGACTCGCCCATAGTCCCTCACCATGTATTCCTACAGAGCTGACGTGGACTCGTCCACAGACGCTCATGCCGTACTTTCTACGCTCTTACGACAGCCTCATCCACGGCTCCTCACACTGTATTTTGCGGTGACTTGAACGGACTAGTCTGCAGCCTCCCACTTTAAAATTTCCGTTGATTTGAAAACAGCTCATCAACAGACGCTCGCCATGTACTCCGCACGGACTTGACACCACTCACTACCAGACCCGCACCTTGCACTCTCCATGGGCCTCACACCATTCTCCACCAGACCCTCATCTTGTTCTCTCCATGGATTTGGCACCACTCACCACCGGACCGTCACCTGCCACTCTCCATGAACTTGACACCACCCACTACCAGACCCACACCTTGCACTCTCCATGGGCTTCACACCATTCACCACCAGACCCTCACCTTGCACTCTCCACGGACTTGACAACACTCACCACCGGACCCTCACCTTGTACTCTCCATGGACTTGAGGCACACCCGTTCACAGCCGTCAGGAGGCGCGCCCGCCAGGAAGCGATTGATCTGAGGCGACGAGCCGAGCCGGCTCAGCTCCAGCTCCGGCGTCGAGCACTTGCTGGCCTCTCCTGCCGGGCGGGAGGGCCGCAGTCAGCTCCGGCCGCGGTGCACGGCCACAGCAGACACGGCGACGAGGCAGGCCCGGTAACGACGACTCCGGACAGTGAGGGTTCGGACACGGCAGGCCCAGGCGCCACCACCACCGCTCCTCATACTCAAGCTTGGGACATTAGCTCGTCTGAAAGTTATTGCATTCGATGGCAGTTAAGCAATTGCGGCCTTTTCTGTGGAGAGAGCGGCGGAAAATGGAACACAAAGAGGATGACCTTCCATCTTACCAACAGAACAGGCTACTTTCAACTTGTTTCGTAATGCACCCACAAGATGCAGTAAACTTCCTATGTTCAGCTTGCAGTTCACAACCCTTTGAACAGTGGAGACGGGACAGCCCCCAAGCTACAGACTGACGAGGACCACGAACACCTTAGCAAAACAAATGCCGCACACAAACTAACGTGTTCTACAGCGGCTCACGAACCAGGACTTTGATCCAAGCCGCACAATGACAAGGCCACGTTTGCAATGCTAACGGTCCCACCACGCATTCCTGTCGGTGCGGTACCTGGCACGCGTCCGGCGAACCACGCTATGGGCCGCAATTACCAACACTACCTGTTCGCCACCAACACGACACAACTGCGACAGCAAGGCCCCCGGCTCAACATATCCCGCCTGACCGGCCAAGGCCACAGCGACGCTGATCACGTGACCAGCCTGGCATGCCGTGCCACGTCCTGTGTTAGATCTTCGACTCACAGCGCTACAGCGTCACTTAAACTAGCCGGACTGTCCATTGTCCCGGCGCATGCAACTGCCTACATCACTGGCAATGTCAGCCCTTGCCAGGGCCGTGCGGTCTAACGCCCCGCGCTCCGGTGCTGCGGCCGGTCCTGCTCCCCCACGACCGACCTACCCCTTACCAGGGCCGTGCGGTCTACCGCCCCGCGCTCCGGTGCTGCGGCCGGTCCTGCTCCCCCCCCCCCCCCCACGACCGACCCACCCCTTACCAGGGCCGTGCGGTCCACCGCCCCGCGCTCCGGTGCTGCGGCCGGTCCTGCTCCCCCCCCCCCCACGACTGACCCACCCCTTACCAGGGCCGTGCGGTCTACTGCCCCGCGCTCCGGTGCTGCGGCCGGTCCTGCTCCCCCCATGACTGACCCACCCCTTACCAGGGCCGTGCGGTCTACCGCCCCGCGCTCCGGTGCTGCGGCCGGTCCTGCTCCCCCCCCCCCCGCCCCCATGACTGACCCACCCCTTACCAGGGCCGTGCGGTCTACCACCCCGCGCTCCGGTGGTACGGCCGGTCCTGCTCCCCCCACGACTGACCCACCCCTTACCAGGGCCGTGCGGTCTACTGCCCCGCGCTCCGGTGCTGCGGCCAGTCCTGCTCCCCCCACGACAGACCCACCCCTTACCAGGGCCGGCCGGTCCTGCTCCTCCACGACTGACCTGCCAGTGCGAGCAGGTCCACCTCGGCCGAGAGCGCCGGCGACAGCAGCGGCTCGTCCACCGGCGTCTGCGTGTTGACGGAGCGGCGCGACAGCATCAGCAACTCGTCCACCGGCGCCAGGTGTCCGTCCACCGGAAACTGTCGGCAGAGGGCACGCAGCGTCCACACGGCGTCCACATGGCGTCCACTGGCGTTAAGTGCCCATCCACCGCACACTAGCGCCAGACGCCACACGTCTGCACAGAATCCGCGCCAACTTAAGCAGGTCCATCGAAACAAGGCGCCTGCCAACCGGGACACTGCCAGAAGGACGCACACAGCACCCACCCACGCCACGTGGCCGTCCACCAGGAGCTGACAGGGACGGTGTCCGCCACAGAGCATTCGCCCGCGCTGGCGCAGCGACCGCTGAGCAGTCCGCCCGCGTTCACTGGAGAAGCCAGAGGGGCGCGCCAGCCATACCCCCCCCCCCCCCCCCCCCCACCTCACTCTCCCCCAGCAGGGTAAGACCCGCATCGGCACTCGGAACAGTATCCGTCAGTCACCAACAGCACGACAGCGCCTGCCCCTCGCTGTTTGCGCGCGTGCGGGGTTACTGGATCGCTGTGTCCACAGGCAGCTATCGGACACCAGTTTCACGGACGGAGCCAGCGAGTGAGTCTCTGGGGCTTTACGACGGACACGGCCAGCATACAGGTATGCACCCAAGGAGAACGTCCAGTAATGGCGCGAACAGTTTGTTGATAATCGCGTTCAACGTCAGCTTACATGTGAAATCTTCCTATTCTTGTCTTCGGCAACATCATTTACTGCATCTTGTTAGAAAAGGTGGCGTCACCGCCCAGCCGTGGATATTTTACAAAAACTATGTAACTACGCGCTTTTACAAAATCAACATAAATAGCTCCGGCCGCCGACTACGTTCTGCTAATAGGTGGCGCTACTGCGCACAGAGTACGGTCGGCTTCAAAACAAGCTGTCGAAACACATTGATAATAATTTGGGCTTTTGGACGCACCGACTACCCTGGTCATATGGCGCCAATATCGAATGATATTCAGGACAATTCTAATGCACATTCTTCCATCTTTAGGAATGCAGCTAACGATAATCCCATGCGACGTGTGCATATCCAAGTATAACTGATCAGGCCGATGTCAACTACAAGCTCCATCCTGCCGACCTTTTGGCCGAAAGTTTCTGGTACCGGCTTCTACTACTTTCTGATCTTGCGCAACAGGTGCCTTCGACCCATAAAACTACGTCCAGCATTGCAAAATAGATGAATGGCTAAAGGAATGTGTTTCACATTTGCATGTGGTTTTAAAATGAAATAGCAATCCTGAAGATGTTTTGATGCAGCTCATGGCCATGCCCTTTTTAACACATAAAAACCTCCTGGTTCCTGAGCTTTACAGCCGTAAAGATGTGGCAGTCAGTGTGTATTTCAGTCAGTGTGTCAGCGTGCATGAGTCAGTATTTCAAGGTCACATTGGCATTCATGACGTCACAATAACGTCGTTGAAATCCTGTCATTCCTTAAGGTGTGCGGCGACCAAGGTCAAGAAAGATATAACTGGTCGAGTCGTTCATATCTGGCGTTTGTGAGAATGATTTCCAGACATAACGGCCGTCAACTGGCTCTCGATCAATGTTGTGCTAGGTAGAATGAAGTTTCAAGGAACATACTTACTAAACAAGGAAATTGCATTTTATAGAGCAGTCTTTTCTACTTTAAGTATATAAATCGTATCCCCTGGTACACTGAAGGTCGATAACTATCAGCATAAGGACTCCAAACTCGTAATGCAAGATGTGTTGAAAGGGAGTGCTTCACATTTGAAGATCTTTAAGAAATATCAGTTTTGAAAAAGCTTACTTATAACGATTTATATACTTAAAGTAGAAAAGACTGCTCTATAAAATGCAATTTCCTTGTTTAGTAAGTATGTTCCTTGAAACTTCATTCTACCTACCTTAGCTTAGGGAAACATGATATGATTGTGATCATTTCAAAATACGGTGCGTGCCAGCGGGCACGTGACCGCGAATACCAACGTGTCACCTTCCCCCAGCACGCAGCAGCCGCGCATGCCCCCCCCCCCCCGCCACACACACACACATTCACTTGCTTGGCGATGACCACCCACCATCCTACCACACACACTCAGTCGCATTCCTCATAGAAACAGGCCGTTCCCAATCCATGTAGGGCTCTTCAGACCCTTTCACACTCACTCCTTACAAAAATCATCAAACCGCCCTGCATCCGGCTCCATCCCTGTACGGAATGTTACCCAGTTCAAGACACCGAGGCACGCAGCAGATATGCCGGCATAACCACACTTATAACCATTGCATGCTTTTGAACGCAATATATTACTGCACACAACACAATTTTACTTTTTAGTAAATAAGCTCTTCATTGCATCGTTTGATTACGTCATGGAGTGTTTGTACAGCGTGAAAGTGGCTGCCAGACTGGTTGTGTCCGAATTGCCACTATAGCGGACGGGCTGACCCACTTGTAGTACTTCGATCTGCCCAGAGGTGACGCGAGTGTTGGCACGTGTCTGCGAATCTTTAACATAATTGTGTGCGCGCGTTTTCACCCTTCGTGGTAGTGTGCATATTAATCTGTGATTTTGTTATGTTTACTCGCATTCACATATTCGGTTATGGCGCTGTCTTACCTCCGTCATAACTCGCACCGTTGCCCGAAAGCCTGTATTATATAGCACAAAATATGATTTGTGTTCGAAACTTGCACTGACCGCATCCAATGGTCTAAAGTCAACTGATGACCACTGATGCCACGAATCGCAATGATGTACGCAAGGCACGATTACGTCGATAATCATATCTGCTCGTGGCCTTAAGCACTACATGACCAGTGGAATGGCGGTATTTCCGTGACGTTTCATGACGTCATTTATGTTTGGGTGACCCTGAAATGGTCTGCACGAGCTCGCGAGCGTCGAGCTCAGAAACAGAACAGTTTTAAGCCTTAAAAAGGAATGAGTGAACTGCACTGAATGGTCTCCAACATGGCTATCTCAATTTAAGCCGCATACAGAAGTGGAACACTATCTTTAATGGGATTGTTCCACATGTGTGTGAAGTTTTTAACTGAAATAGTCATCTTGAAGACTTTTTGGTGAAGCCCATAGCCTTACCCTTCTTAAGACTTAAACCCCTCTAGTTTCTGAGCTACCCACATTTTGGGGAGATCATTTCAAGGTCACACGGACATCCATGACACCATGTCACTGCCATTTCGTTACCCATGCGGTGAGCACGGCCAAACAAAGAATAACTGCCAGGTCATTCATATCCGGCGTTTGTGAGCACGATTTCCAGATACAACGGCCGTAAATTGGCTATCGACTAATGTTGTGCGAGGTACGATGACGTGATTGACGCTTACTACATCTATACATGATAAATACATCCACTGACCCATCTCAGGTCACGCCGCCTTCTCTGAGCCAGCTAACGCCACCGGCACACCCACGTTGCTCCTCGACACTGACCTGGCTGAAGGCGAGCACGCGCTGCTGCACGAGCCGCTCGATCTCTTGGTTGAGGCCCTCGACCGAGCTGCGCATGCGCGGCGGCGTGGCGGGCGCGCGACCGGCCGCCGGGCCCGGGATGGCAATGGGCAGGGCGGCCGGCACCGGCGACACCTGCAGCAGCGAGTGGTCGCCCGGCACCGGAGACTGGCGCAGCGCGCCCAGCGACCACAGCCGCGTCGACACCTCCTTAGTGTTGCGCTGCAGCCTGTGGCAGCGGCGGCCGCCGGTCAGGCCACAGCCGAGGCCCGGTGGCGCCGCCGGCCGCGACACGGCGTCTGGGACTGCTCACGTCTCTGATGACGTCATCGGGCAGTCAGCTGACGACTGCCAGGCGTGACCACGGGACCGGGCTGGGAGGGGGCCTTATGTGCGCCAGGTCCAGCACGTGCTCCACACTCCACTGCAATGCTTCACGTTTGAAGAGTGATGAGGAAACATGCGGGTACCTCAGGACTAGATGTATGCAGTCTTATGCCACACAAGGAGCGTGTGCAAACAGGAGCACACGCCTCTTGGCGTTCTGTACACGCCATAACGCGAACCCCCGGCGCAGTCACCGTGAACAAGGTGCAGATGAACGGAGCGATGGTCATCGCATTTTCCACCCTTCTGTCAAATGGAGCGACTACCACTAAGCGATAGGCTGAAGCTGAGCCCTTAGTGGACTGAATTTTCGAGATACAGCACAAGCAAATCCAACAATGTTTAACCCATCTTGGCCACTGATCCCAATTTTTCATGAATGCCATGTTTTGTTCAATACCATGAGCCAGATCACAAGTGAATCTAAACACCATGTTTGCCAATCAGTTCCAATCGTAACACATTTCATTTCTCAGAATACTACACAGACAGCACACCTTGTTCACCACATGTAGCCCTCCGCCCCCCCCCCCCCCCCCCCCCCCCCCCGGCGTGGCATGCGGGTTGCTCACCGCTGTCGGATGAGCTTCTTCTCGAGGCAGTCACCGGCGGCACCCGGAGAGATGAGGCCCGAGTTCCTGGCCAGGGAGCCGGCCGGCGGCTTGAGGCTCGCCCACTCCTCCGGCGTCTGCGGGCGCACGGGGTCCGTGCCGTCACGACCACTGCTGGGCCGGCGAGGCCGCCGGGGGGCGCGAGCCAGCGCAAGCACCGATGCCGTGCACGTGTGAACGACAGGCTCTCTCACAGTCTATCTGATCCATGCGTGTTCTTTATAGGATGTTTATCTTACCCCGATGTGCTCTCGTTTCACCTCTTCAGCACACGATATTGAACAAATGGGAGGCATCCGTATGCACATGGCTGCCTTAGCCGGCTAACCCACGCCCCGGGTGCCCATTTATCGTCGCGTCACCGGAGCAAGGCCTCTGACCCGCCGTCAGCGCTCCTTGGCCGCAACCAGCCCTCGCTCATGACGGTGGTTGAAGTTTTAGGGTGCGCCGACTACTACGGTCATTTTGTGCTCATTGCAGCTAAGTGAGTACCGAAGCGTATAAATGGCTGCTTAAAGTCCTACGCCTGTCAACAATTGGAGCAGCTGTCCTGTGCCAAGTGTGCAAAAATCGTCGCCAATGGGGTCCGAAAAGGTAAGACCTGCAGCATCTCGTCCGAAACAGTGACCCCTCTCCACAAAACTGCGGGCAGAAGTGAACCTCACTGCCGCTGCCGGCCGGCCAGCCCAGCCTTCATCGGCCCGGCCCGGGGCGCCTACAGCCGCGGCCGCCACCACGCGCGTTCCTCACCTGCGTGGCCTTGTCAGCGGGCCGGACGCCGCTGAAGAGGGCGGGTCGGTCACGCGGCCACTGGCCCAGCAGGCAGAGCGTGTCCAGCGAGGAGGCACGCCGCATGGGGGCGCCGCAGCGCTGCGACGCCGCCGGCCACGGGCCCCGGCCGCCCTCTGCCAGCAGAGCACTGCGTCACAGCAGCAGGACAACGACACAGAGGGAGCACCAATGTCTCGCAAGGGCTACCAAAGCAGATGACTGATGACATCATGTTGAAGGAGTACACTGAACTACTGATGCAGGCAGTCCAGCCAGGAAATGTTTCAGCACAAATAACTGGATACAAGCAGAAACATGCAGAAAACACTGAGCGTTTGGCACATGGAGTGCAGTCGTCTTTTGAGAATACTAATATGCCAACACATGACCTGCTGGCCATTCAAACAAGAGCATGCACTTTACATGAATACTTCAATACCACACATAAAGTACCCACATGTCAGTATCTTTGCTGCAGCTTACTCACCATGAACTTCTGTTTGTTGTGAGCTGTCTCTAAGAAGTACATTTGGTGACCCTGACTTATGGCTATGGCAGACAAGCATAGATGGTGACACACTTCTAATAAAGGCCCGAGGCATGGTGCAGCCCTTCGGGACCTGAAACTAATGTCAGCCATGTATCAGAAATGCCAGACCATCATTGCATTCCACAAGGCAAACATAGGTTTTTTCAAAATTGCTGGGCATTCAATGAACAAGGTGAGTGTTATTCCCAATTGTGTTCCTGAATCATTAAAAGCCAATCATATCTAAAGCATTTTTGTCATACAGTGATGCAATGACTTTGGTCGCAAGTTAACACTGTCACAACCAGCAAATGCAAGCATTCTGGACCATTCTGTACCCTAAAAGCACAGGATAATATCATGCCCATGACAACCAAGGGCATAATGAGGACTGGTATGGGATAAAGCACTTACCAAAACATGAATACTCCAGGTTATTTTACTGCTACAGATATGACTGCTCAAGATATGCAGATGGATAAATAGATAATCATGATAATTCTCAAACATGTGCATGAAAGGTCTGAACAATCTGACCATGCCTCTCAGTAAAACATTTACTTCTTCTAAATGGCAGAGCAGTGTCCTAACTGGAAGGGAAAAGAGCATCTGGAGGTAGCCTGGGTTCACCTAGAACCTAGCATAGCTTCAGGGATGAGATTTCCTCTAACTGGCTTTGCAACACTACATCCCTGATGCAAACAATCTGAGGAAAGGTGAAGCATTGGCCATAAGCACAGGCAAGGCACAACATAACCTTTAACAGTCCAATGCTGTGAGCATCCTACAGGTGAATGCCTAAGTACTGTGCCTCTCTGTTATTGTTCATACTAACTCACATAAGTCAGGGAAATGGTGCTGAATACAATGCCCTGAGTCACTTCTTGGTGTGAATTCAATAGATATGGCAGCCTGATGGTGCAATCCCGCAGGATCATCAATGCAAGCATGCATGAAATAAAAGTACCTGGCACACACACAATCACACAAATACTTAGGTCATAACAACATCTGCCAATAAACCTCTCTTACATGTACTCTCCAGCTATCTTCTAAAGCTAGATTCCCTCTGTATTCTAAGTTTTGCTTTTATTTACTGTGAACATGGGACTGCCTGATGGCTTAGCTAGATGATTGAACACTCTTGAATTGAGCAGCCAAACTCCATTTGCAAAGCTAGAAATACAATTGTGTACTGTAGGCAGGCTACTTAATGCCCTCACCACTACAACCTACATGCATTTAACATGCTGATACCTATCCACACACAGACTGTGGTTCAGATCCTCCTGTTTGGTGGCTTCATTTTTTAATTGTGATAATGTACACACAAAAGAAGCACATTTATCACACCTGAACCAAATTTGTTACCACAAACACATTTGTGACATGCCTAATGCACTGTGAATACCCTATAACTAAATTATGTAAGTGGTAGAAACCAGATGAGGGATGCAGATGCTGCAATGAGAACATGACAATGTGGTTTTTGGCATGTCAGGAAGCAAAAATAGTCAATTTTGAACACTGCTGACTGCTGAGTGACAATTGTAGCCAGTGTGGTCTACTCACTTGCCTCCAGTGAACTAAATACAGTGCACCAAATATTGTACCTTTGGTTTTGTTACAAGCCAAACATGGCAAGGTGACTTTTGAGCATGTCAGCCTTTTCTCTTCAGCACACCAGCATTTTGCAACCACCTTAAAGACCAGTTTGTATAACCTACCTACTGCACTAGACGCCTGCACAATGGTGGCACCCTGAATCTCATGCCCATTGGGAGAATTGCTACCTGAAATAAACTTTGCAAAATCACAATTCCTTGAAACACTGGCCCTCTATGCATTGAAATCGGTGACAACTGGGTACTTAGCTTTACTCTAGGAGGCTCAGATTTACAGCATGCATGCCCTGAAAATGTTGCCGTGGAATTGCTGCCACAACTGCAATACTGGACATATTTGACATAGCATGCATTTGTTTGCTGCCTGGCTTGTAGACTGAGATGGGAGAGACAAAAAGGGATTCAGCCAGAGACTATGATGATAGCTATTCATAACTGACACATTCCTATCTAACAATGCCCTTATGCAGCTTTCATTCATCATGCCCCACATCTCTGATCGGTATCGGGCAAAGCATCAGCAAAGCAACAAAGGCATCCCGTGACCGAAATCGAGAGCGCAGGAGAAAATGACAGTTTTGAACGCATAGCCTGGGTAAGATAAATGTTATGTAACTCGGAAATATGATTTTCTTACCGAAGTCACGATTAGCTATGTCCAGCTTCCCAAAATGATTAAAATATTACAGGGGTGCACAATACTCACAATATCCTCAACAGTCCCACCAGCCTTGTGCCTCTCCAAGTCATGCAGCTGATGCCCTTGGAGCTCTCAGTTTGTCTCAAATGTATGAATCCAGTTAATATTAATAGTGTCAGCAAAAGTTTACGAATGATAAGACCAACTAAATCATAGTGACCAATCGTTGCAAAGAAATTCAGCTGGCGAGAGCCACATTTAGTAAACAAATAGATCCACGAACAGGTGTAGTTGAGTTTATGTGCGCTGAGTTCGTGCCTGCAAATATTTGTTGTCTTCGAGTGCCAATCGCAGGTGGTACTTCACCGCGGTTCTCTTCAGCGGGAAGGCGCGCCGTGCGCCCGAAATTTGCCGTTGTACAACGTAAAAGCTTGCTAGAGTTAATCATAAGCACTTTTGGGTCATCAGGTGTATTAACAACAGGATTTGGTCAGAAAATAAGGTCAGTCAGGTGTCTACGTGGCCGTAGATTCGGGGGTATTGGTAGTTTTGCAAAATAAGTAGGGGCTGTGTGCAGTGAGCGGGAGAAAACGGTTAAACCAACACATCAAATACGAAATAAAAATGCTTCTCAAATTTGACCCACCTGCCTCGCGATGCATTCCTCGCATGACTTATCAGGCACAGCATGCTATTCTTTCTGATAGATTTTGTGAGAAGAGGAGCATGACTGGAAGGTGAGCGTTATCTAAAGAGTGATGGGTCACAGCGCACTGAATCTCAATAAACTACAGAATTAGTGAGGTTGTGTATGGTTCCATCTATAAACTTATTTGTTCTATTGTGCGAGAAGCCTATGTGAGGTGTTTTCAGCCTCAGCTTGCTACTTATTGGCATGATAGGGAAAAATGCTTTCAAGATCAATTCCATTAAGACCTAATTGCATACCAGCACAGGCAGTAGCCAAACATGTGTCAGAGTTCACATTGGTATGTTACACAGGGATTGCATGGTTTGTATGCTAATGCTGATTGTTTCCAAACAACCTCAGTAAGGTTTTGTGGTGTATTGAGGATGATAAGCCTGATACCATTGTCCTTACTGGATGTATTTCATAAGCCAAATCAATTCCACTGTCACCAGCCAGGTTATTTTTAAAGATTCTTTTTCTCTAGACTTTAAATCTGATGCCAAACAGGCCAGCTGGGTTCATCAAGAATGCAAGGTGCTGTTTTTTACCAGATGATACCTAAACCCAGCAGCAATTTCAGTCTCATGCACAATTTGAGAAGTGATATGGATAGGGATAAACTAGGGAACAGTGTTCTACTGATGTCTAGTGTCTGGCATGGTTGACAGAAACCAAATTAGTGATCACCAATCAACAGAAGCACTATGCACACTGCTGGAGATGATGCATTCCAGAGGGCCAAGCCACCTGGTTGTCACAGTTATTTCACTGTAAGGAAATAGACTGGATCTCATGTATGTCTCAAGTGCCAGAGTCACTTGCTCTTGCTACAATGCTTGGTGTGGTCCATCCCACCCTCTGGCCTCATCTTACCTGTAGTGGTACTGCCATGGGGTGCAGGCCTTGTCAGCTAAGAGGCAAATATCAAGTGTTGCAGCAGCTTGAATCCACCTACCCCACCATGGGAAGGCCAGGAGGTAGGCCATCTATTTGAACTGTTAATATGATGTTTACAGGAGTGGTTGGGGTCTGAAATGGTTGCAAACTTAGAGTGTCAGAAAGAACCTGTTCATCACAAAACCATAGAGGTTGGTTCAAATTGGTGGTGACACATACCAGAGCATTGATGTTACTTAAATGTATGTATATTAAATGTGTGTGTCCATCAAACGCATGTTATGTTTTAGAGTTTTATTGGGTATCCAAATCAGGATCTCAGGACTTGTCTAAAAATGTATTGATTCCTGGCAGATATGTTTTCACTGACAAAGGAGAGGGTGGGGGGAGGGGGGGGGGGCAGTGGGTTTGGATGCCTAGTTCCATGCCATTGCCCGCCATCAAGTGTCATTTATAGTGAATGGCTTCAGAGCAGCCAAAAGTTCAGAGGAGAAATGGCCTATGATAGCTGGGACTCCACTGACACACTCAGCTGCCAGTCTGTTAGTGACATTTGATGAGTGTGAGGGGGGGGGGGGGGAGAGGCACATCACCAAAATAATACCAAAGCAACAACTAACTAATGCCAAAATGAGGGAAGGAAGGACTGAAACCGAAATGGTGAAGAATGGTGGTCACGTTTTAGCTAGCGTCAGAAAGCCACGTTTCGAAAGAGCAGTTAAAAATGGTGATGCAAACTCTGGTATTTCCTCGGTGGCATATTGACTCCCGGCATCAGTGACGTACACCAGGGCGCAGTGGAATCGGGCGCATAATTTCAGCTGAGACTGATGTTCAGTGAAAGCATAACCATATGGCTCAAATTTTCATAGATGGGGCTGCCATTGAGCAGAATGATTGCTGTTTGAGGTGTGCGGTGCTAACACCGCTGTGCTCAATGTCAAGAGCACCGAGCGCTGAGTGCCGGCAGTCCTATCACACGCGCTCAGGTGCCGATGGGACGGGTCCGCTCAACGGTGGCTGATTGGGCTCTGACAATGCCGCGATGCCGACCCCAGTGTCGAGACCACACAGGTGCCATCTGCCTGTCGTGCCGCGGCCTCCTGAAATAGCCCGCCTTGGGCCGGGAATGACTGCGGCTCTGTGGTGCTCAAATATAATACGAGATTCAAAAGAATAGGGTGTTTGGTAGTTGCACTACAGTCTGACCTGTGGATGTGAAGATGCGATTTTCACGCCTATGGTTGACGTGCATGCTGTGGATAGGCTTCGTGATTTGTAACCCCTGACCAGGCGTCCGTTGCAGCCAGTCATTGAAGAGCGCTAGAGGAACCGTACAGTATGCTTTGATGTGCCTGATCGCGCATTGCATTGGTAGACATAGAAATCGATGCCTAGGCAGGCAGATAGTCTCCTGCCTGAAGTGTTTTCACGTGTATTTTTTGCGCAAAAAGTTAAGGGCCTGCCATAGTTGCCAGCCATGGCAACTATGTACCAAATCAGGCCCTAAATTTAAGTAGGGCCCAGGCCCCCCATAGTTGCCAATGAACCTGCGTAAAAGGGTGTGGTAGAAACAATCTGACTTTCCGTTGGTGATACTTGGATAGTGGACTGCTAGGTGATGCGTTTGTTTGGTAATGCTCTTTTACTGCTTGAAAGAATTGATCGCATTGAAAAACTATTTGTGAATTGAATGTGCAAAGGCTGGTGTTTGTTGTACTGATACCACTGATATCGTTTACGTAGGAATGTTTCTCTTCTCGTTGCAATAATTCGGCGAAGTTATGGCCATGGGAGCGGGCAGCGCATGGTGATAACTTTGCTATGGCAATATTTTGTCGATGGTGTTCAACCGTGCAGCCGAAGACCAATCACAAAGGTGTTAAACATATCACGCTAATGTATATCAAATCGCGTATTAGATGTTTGTTCAGAAGTTGTGTGGAAAACCTAAACCCTTTACATGGTTCAGCGTAGCGAAAATTGGCTTTGGCTTATTTAAGTCGAAAAGCACGGCGCATGGCTCTGATCCATTTCGTTGCTTTGCTACGAGTTTTCTCTTTACGCTGTTGTGAGTGTGCAGGGTGCAGGGACAGGTTCGGTGACGGAGGTCGTTAAGCCGTGACCCCACCTTGTGTCACTAGGAGGTTTTGGGACCCCGCGGAAGCTCCCAAATATCATGGTAAAGGGGCCTTTGCACGTTTTCGTGGGACCCATGGTCATTAATATCAACAGGCATCATGCCCCAGGTGCGCCACAATGTCCGCGTGGCAAGCCGTTCGCTTTAGCACAGTCCCGATAGCAGGCGAATACCATGCTGTAATACTTCATCATGACGTGCGGTAGTCCTTAATGTTACAGCTGGAAACGTCGCGCAAAAGTGGCAATATTTCAGGCGTTTACAACATGATGCGATGAAAAAAACTTAATTTGTTCGCAATTTTCTGCTCGCGCGGAAAATAACTTGGTTGACAGACAGAAATTTGAGTTACACCATGTTCACCAAGTACACCATTTCGGAGTAGCATGCCCTCTCAAAGGAATGCGGCATGTCTTGGCGTTTAAGTGCATGCAGAAATGCAATAGCAGAATGGTGTTGTTATCTGTGGGCTCGTCGATATGGCTGTGGTCCACATGCATCACACAGCTTACTTGGTGCGTGTTGCATATGTCACCAAACTGAGCTATGTTGTAAGTGCCAAGCGTGACGCTCGTGACTTGTGTTGTGCTGGCGTCTGGGGCAGCGCGTGCTGAAGCCGCCGTGCGCCTCGCAGCGCGTGCTGGAGCCGCCGTGCGCCTCGCAGCGCGTGCTGAAGCCACCGTGCGCCCCGCAGCGCGTGCTGAAGCCACCGTGCGCCCCGCAGCGCCGGCGTCCGTCGCCGCAGCCGCCATGCCGCTGTGGGGGGTCACCGGCGGCGACGTGCTGGCCGAGCTACGCAGCCTGGCGCTCGAGCTCGGCCTGCTGGCCGTCGACGCCGCGCTCTGCGCCACGCTGGGCGCCGCCGTGCGCTCCGCCGGCCGCGACATCGCGCGCGTGCACGACGCGCCCAACTTCGACGCCGACACGGCGCTGGTGGAGCGGGTGGCGGCGTCGGCCGGCGGCCGGCTGGAGTACGCGGCCGTGCGCGGCGTGGTGCGCCCGCTGGCCGGCGCCATTCGCAGCCGCGCCGACCCGGCCGTCAGCGGCGTGCTGCAGCGGCTGGCGCTGCAGGAGTACACCATGGAGGCGAGCGGAGCCACCGGCTTCTGGTCGGAGCGGCGGCGCACGGTGCGCGAGGTGGTGAACACGGTGCCGTTCGCGCTGTGCGGCGCCGGCCTGCAGGTGGCGGTGCGCGACCCGGCTGCGCTCACCGCCGTCGACCTGTACACGGTCAAGGACGAGTACGTGCCGGCTGAGACGTCGCTGGCGCAGAGCGTTTGGCAGTGGCTGCAGGGCGAGCGCAAGCAGGGTCTGCGCGATGTGGAGGAGATGCTGGTGGACGGCACGCACGTGACCGGCTACGGCGAGCTGGTGCGCTGCGAACGCGGCCTGGAGCTGCGCCCGCCGCCGGGCGACCTGCCCTACATCCTGACCACGCGCTCGGAGGCGGCGCTGCTGCGCGCGCTGGAGGCCGACCGGCGCATGGCGCGCTGGCTGCTGCTGGTGGTGGCCGGCGTCGGCGCCTGCTGCGCCGCCTGGACTGGCTGGCAGCTGTGGCGCGCGCTGGCTGGCCGCGCGCGTCGCCGCCGGCTGGCCGCCGAGTACGACGCCATCAGGTCGGAGCGGCGGCGCCGTGAGCGCGCCGGCGCCGCCGTACCCGAGGCCGTCCAGTGCGTCGTGTGCCTAAGCAACCCGCGCGAGGTGGTGGTGGCGCCCTGTCAGCACGTGTGCCTCTGCGTGGACTGCGAGGAGCGGCTGGACAAGCGCTGCTGCCCAGTCTGTCGCCGTGACGTCACCAGTGTGCTGCCGGTCTACCTGGCTTGAAGGCGCAGTGGGCTGCATGGGTGTGAGTACTAACGGTTGCGTCGATTAGCTGTGCATCCGGTCTGGTCATTGGTCAGTTGAGAACGGTCGTTTCTGCGTGGCCTTTCGGTGGGGTGACGGTCGTGCCAGCGAGGCTTCCAAGATTATCGACGTTCGTGTGTTTTATGGAAACATTTTGCTGTGGCGGTGCGATTGTTTTGAACGTCGTACGCCGGTGTCCTCAGCAGCCGTTGCACCAATTTAGCAACGTTATACCAGCCAAGTGCCTTGTTGAGATCAAGCCAGAAACGCCTGTAAAAGCACACAGAGGCTAGTGATTTGCGGTGTTATTAACGCGTTGCCGATGCGGCGTGCTGGCATTTGGTCGGACTGTTGTTATCACGTGCAGTAGTTAATCGAGAGTGCTCTGCCAGCGGTGTGCATGGTGCATGTGAGAGCCAGATGCCGACTTGGGTCCGGAATGGCCACAGACTCCATTTTAACTGTGTGAGGGAATACACTTTTGTAGCTGTGGCGGTGGCCATTGATTAAAAGGAAAACAATAAAAAGCGCGCGAAGCGTTGCTTCGGGAGAGCCGGAGGGCGTTGTGTCGCTGGTGTAAGCATCACTAGGCGAGCCCGGAACAGTCGCAGGAGGCGCTCGGGCCGTACGTCCGTGACTCATCTGCTGGCAAAGACTTCCGCGGGAAGCGGCAGATCGTTCATGCACTTCTACATTGCAAGCACTTGTGTGCGAGGAATGACCTCATGAGTTGTTTTTTTGGCAACGGAATGATCTAGGTATGGGTCGAAGCACCACCAGCATGATATTTCCGTTGGGGACATTGGACAACGAATATGTACGTACTGCTGTACTAAACAAGCGCCGTTTGCGACAAAGCGATGCATTCATGCTGAACAAGCCCTGTTTACGACAAACCGATGCATTTTGTCTCATCAGCAACCTATTTACAAAAAATGAGGGCCGATTTTGCATAGTTTGCTCTACGCTTTTTTGGTTGATCCTTGCCACGTTAACGTCTAAAATTGAAACACCAGTTTCGGTATGGGCAAATTTCGGACAGTGGAAGCATGCTATCATGGATCGTTGTGCGTTCATCCCAAAATGGTGGCGTGTTATCATGGATCATTGTGCGTTCATCCGTTATTCAACATTCTTTCGCTGTGGTGGAATTACACGCATCTTCCTGCGCCACTAACTGCAGTCAAAGGCGCAATTCAGTGAATTTGTCGCTGTGAAGACAATTGCCTGTCAGCTATATGCCAAGTAGACTTACGTGAGCCTATCAATTGGTTTAAACGCACGGTGCACTTAAGATACGTAATTGGAATCGATGAAACAACACAAAGTGGCCTGGGCAGTCTTACCATTTTCGGGGCGAAATTTCTTAAACATTTGTTTAGCACTACTGAGCGCCCAGAGGCAGTAAGCAGCCGAAGATCTGTAACCATCGCACGCTGTCAGAACTACCAAAAAACGCGCTGAAATCGCTGGCGTTCAGTGCCTTGATGCTGGAATGATATGGTTGGACAAAGGCAGAGACTTGTCTTGATCATCGGCTGGTCTTGTCGAGCTGATTGGTTGCGACAATAGCAACATAGACGATGAATTTATTGATATCCATGCATACACGTCTGGATGGTAAGATTACAGAACAGACAACTAAGATGACATCGTGCGCCCATTTCAGCACCCAAACATCAGCAGCACAATCACTGCACTCAAATCTCACCCTGGCTGAACGCAACTGACATGCACACATGGTGGGGCGACTGATCTCACGCGGTCCTTTCCGCAGCACCGGCGAACCATCACCGAGACTAGTTCTTGCCACCAGCTGGTGTGTCCGACCACAGGCTGTTCTCGCAATCCACGGCCCTGCGCGGCTCAATCGATTCCATTCTGGCTGGACGGGTCGGACCAGAGGGGTGCCGACCAATGGGAGCGCACCCCGCAACGGACCACCAAGAATGGCCAAGAGGACTTACGGTCCACGTACATCGGTTTTCAAGGGCGATGGGGCGGTGATGTTTTATTCTTTGGATCCAGGTGGCTGGACTGAGAAAAGTTTAGATCACAAGCATCGAAAAGATCAGTGAGTTCCTTTCCAAATCGCTGCAACCCACCACGAAACAGAACACCGTGTTCGGAAGGTGCAGGTGGTATTCTGGACTCAGCCTAGAGCCTGCCTTAGTCCGCGCCCGGCTACAGTGCCATCTATTGACCGATGGACGGAACTTAGTTTCGACGCCTGCTGACGCCCCGTGTCAGCCAAGAGAGCTGGCTGCTGACTGGGTGTTTTCTGTCGGGGGCGGGCAGGCGCTGTGACTGGAGGGCGTGGCCGTCCAGCCAGCCTGGAGAGGTACCGCACGTTGGCTCGCGATGGCACAGGACGCACAGACACGCTGTCCACAGACACGGAGTCTAAGGCTGTGGAATTGAAGGATCGGAACAACTGGGTCAGACCGGCACTTCCAAACCTTTCACAGCCCTGCACGTGCCGGTGTCGCACTTAAAAACCATCAGTATCACTTTCGTGACACCGATAGTTTTTGCCACCACTCGTGACAAACATCGTAAAAAGGCAGCCTCCGGCTCACTGGTCGTCGGTCTAAAGCCTATTCACTTCCGCCTTTACTCCTCTCTTAAAACGCCTCCGATAAGGCATTCGCGCATTGTATGAACAACATCAATTCATCACGGATTATCACGCTGCGGCGCGGCCACGCCTTTGCGCCGGCGACCGCAGCCTGCCGGCCACCGCCCGCCGTGAGTGGGAGTCCCCGCGGTGCCCGGCCCACCACGTCCGTCACGCTTCCGGCGTAAATCACAGCTGGAATGACCGCTCCGCCGGATGAGACGCCAGCGCGGTGGACGCCGAGCGCGGAGCTTCGCACCGCCTCGTGCCTCGGCCGTTCGTGGCTGCGTTGACTCGCCCGCGTCAGCGCGCCCCCACTCGGTAAACCTCACCAGCAGCGAGCACTGTGATCTTGGTACTGTCCACAGCCCGTACAGCGATCGTGCCTCACCGCACATCCCGCACAGGGGGTGCGCGGGCAGTGAGAGCAGAAATCCTGTCCACATTCCGTGCAGCAGCCCTGCCCACAGCTGGCCCATGTACAGGCTCTCGCCCACCTCTGGCCAAACCATTCTGTTCTGAACTCCGGGCTGAGCCTTACGCGTCCTGAAATGTATGTCAATTAAAAGTTCATAAGTCATCATTAACTAAACATGACAATAGAGGCAGGGTTAAATGAGCGCTCATCCGCCTGATTCAAAGGCGTTTTTCGCAACTTATTCGCATCAGAATAAAGCATACGGAACAAACACCTAGAACAGTACGATTTCAATTCCAATGAGTTTGCAAGAAATGCAGCATATCACGAGCACGTCACGCCGACCAAACAACTGCCTTCTGGTGCGGCATCGCATCTTTATTCTAGGACGGATTTTACGTAGCAGATTGTTACGTCTTTAACGTACAGCCGCAACATCCAGCGCGTCTGCTCAGAAGACCGGAGAGGGGGGGGGGGGGCAGACACTGACACCGCGCGGGACACGAAGGTGTACGCACCTCCGTGCCCCTGTCGGGCCGGCTGGACGGCGGACCAGTCGACTGGCCTCAGTAGGTCGGGTACCGGGGTACGCTCGGCGGCGGGCCGCCGACTGAAACACGAGGGGTGCGGTGAGGAGCTGAGGTGGCTGGGGTCGAGCCATCGCGACCCAGCCTACCGCTGACGTCACTGCTGACGTCACAGTCGCTGGCTCGGTGCACCACACATCCGACATGGCCAGCATTAGCATTGTGGAACGCCAGCCAGGCAAAGTTAGAGGTCACACCGCATTTGTGACATTGCCAATGATTTGCGACTTAGGGGCAACGATAAGGAATTTCAGCTCAGCACAACGCATCGGACTAAGAACAAATAATATGATATGCGTAACAGCCTTCAGCACCGTAAATGCACGCTTCTGAGGAACCACAGTCCAGTTTACAGTTCGACCAGGCGTGTCGTTCCCGGTTTGTCGAACAGCTGAGCGCACTGGGGGAACCGGCCTGGGGCCACGGTTTGTCGAACTGCTGAGCGCAGCCTGAGCGCACTGGGGAACCGGCCTGGGGCCCAACGGTTTGTCGAACTGCTGAGCGCACTGGGGAACCAGCCTGGGGCCTCAGCTTGTACGAACTGCTGAGCGCACTGGGGAACCGGCCTGGAGCCACGGTTTGTCGAACAGCTGAGCGCACTGGGGAACCGGTGTGGGGCCTCGGCTTGTCGAACTGCTGAGCGCACTGGGGAACCGGCCTGGGGCCACGGTTTGTCGAACAGCTGAGCGCACTGGGGAACCGGCCTGGGGCCACGCTTTGTCGTCAGCTGACCGTCGGCTGAACTCACAAGCAGCCTGCTGCAGGTAGCCGTGCTGCTGCTGCTGCTGCTGCGCCAGCACCGCCTGCTGGTAGCGGTCAGGCCGGGCGCCGTGTAGTAGGACACAGAGCCCTTCTCCGCCGGCCGACCGCTTGGTACGGCATTCCCATTGCCGGAAAAGGGCTGGTGGCGAGGTCAGGGGTCAACGGCCGCTACTACTGCGGCGGGGAGGCGAGGGGGCGGCGGAGTTGTGGACGCTGCTGCGGTGAGGGGGAGGGGGCAGCGGAGCTGTGGACGCTGCTGCGGCGAAAAGGTGAGGGGGCGTTGGAGCCCTGGACACCGCTGCGGCGAGGAGGGGAGGGGGCAGCAGAATTGTGGACGCTGCTGCGGCGAGAAGGCGAGGGGACGTTGGAGCCCTGGACACCGCTGCGGCGGGGAGGGAGGGGGCACCAGAGTTGTGGATGCTGCTGCGGCGAGAAGGCGAGGGGGCGTTGGAGCCCTGGACGCTGGCGCGGCGTGCAGGGGAGGGACGGTGAAGCTGTGCTGGCATGCTTCGTAAGGCTAACACAAAACTATCAACATTGTCTTGTGAGAATAAGGAGAAAATGACTCGATTCAATAGCCGACCCGTCTCCTGGCGAGCGGTATTTCAGTCATCTAATGGTCAAACCAGTTCGTTACCAGAACCAATATGATTATTTTTGTAAAACCACCAGGTGCATTACTTACAGCGTAGTACACCGAAGTATCGTATACAGGCTCGCCCTGAAAATACCATCGGCGTCAGAAGAAAAAGTACAGGAGTCACTGCTACGGATGCCACATCAGTCGGTATCATGCGATGCACGATCTGTGCAAGAATGCTGAGTCAACACGGAGCAGGTAACATAAGGTTCGGCACATTACATGCCGCCAATGTAGGACCCACCTATATCGCAATTGACGCCTAGGTTTTGGCCTGCTGGTTCGGTCAGAGCTATTTTAACACACCGCAATAACTTCGGAGGTGGGTAAATATCGCGACATCCTGACATGCCTCAGACGCCGGGAATTCGGGGCACAAGGAAACCAAACCATAGGCGTGCGAGTTCTAGGAATGGCCCCCAAACAGGGAACCGGTGACGCCAACTCATGGTTAATGGCCACCCTAGGTGTGACGAGTTATTGCTGTTGTTGCAAGCGTTCAGGATACAACGTGGTCGGAAGAAAATATAGCGGGATGGCACAGCCGCCAACAATGTCCGAGTAGGCAGCCTGCGTGATTCGAATTGTATCCCCACACTTCAACAGCTCTGTACGCGCTGGCCTGCCCAGCTCACCTCCAGACGGTCGTTGGACAGCTTCTGCTGCATCTGCGGCAGTGGCAGCGCCGACAGCATGGCCGTCTCCCCCAGCGGCGGACTCGCTGCCAGCGCATAGTACTGACTGAGGCCGGCGTAAACAGGGCCCGCCGGCGACGTCATCTGCCGGACAAAACGGAAACTATTGCCTATCGCGGCTGACACGCCAATCTTAGACGTGCTATTGCCACGTCCAGCTGTCTTGGTTAGATTGTTAATATCCCAGCCAGCAAATGTTCCAATAAGTTACGACCCAAGCAATTGCAGCCGTTATTGCCCTGGTCTACGATCAGGTATAAAGCAACGCACAATGACGACAACAAATCAACATGCTTGACATGACTAATCGCGTTACGGCATTTGAGTATGGTTTCAAAATGGAAGCAGAACGCTAAACATGCTCACAAAATCATAGGGTTCTTCGCAATGCAAGCACATACCACGGTCCTGTAGAATGTCATACACAAGGCATATAAGGTCGTGCTTAAAAGACAGCTGTGCATGGCCGTTGAAAAGCACAGTCGTCCGGTTTTATCAGCACGAACAGCGGGCGCCGTCATTTTATTTGGATTATCTTCATTTGCCGAGCGGTCATGGGCCAGGGCAACATTTATAACTCTCGTCCAAAGCTGATATAATTTGCTGTATGCTCACGTTCGGATAATGGGACATAAGTTTGCAAATTAGAAAATTAGATACCAATAAAAACCATGGGAGCTCCCAGAAACTAGTAGAAGGGGGGGGGGGGGGCGCATAATAGCAACCATGTATGAGGCGCTGCTTCTTAAGCCGTTAGATGGTGCACCAAATTATCCCCACCCGAACGATACATTCCTAAAACTGTTGAGCACAGACACATTTGCCGCGATTACCAGTCGTCATTTTCATAATATTTCAATATTCTCCCCGCCGTTGAGCGCGGGCTCGCTCACAGGTTCCATCTAGAGGCGACTCTGTTCGCACCTACCGAGCAGAACGCCAGCAGGTTTACTCATTTCTCGGCATACCTGCTTGGTATTTGCTAACCACAGCCCAGGCACAAGAACCATGCCCTACAGCATGCCGGCTCTGAATTCTTGAGCACCAGGACGCCGAGCATGTCATTCCCAGTAGCGAACCGTCCTCGACCAGAACACACGAATGTCCACGTAACACACGCCTAACATGCTTATCGCAGTCATGTATCCTGCATTAATCCTGAGACCCCTTTGAAAGTCGGCCGCGGAATGGCCCGTCCACATCCGGCTCCGCGCAGGCTGCTACTGAGGAGCTCCATCGGCGTGCAGGTATGGTCCACTTCTTGGGAGCGAAGGGGAGCGGAGGGGAGCGGTGTATAAGCTGACACTTCAGTCGTGAAGGACAACTGACACTCGAACGTTGTATGTGTCTCAAATGCAGCCGATGATCTCACCCGGCCTTACCTAACCTAACCTAATTGCAATGCAAAATGTGCCGATAATGCACCATGTTATTGTAACGTAAATCTTACTGCGTGAGGTTTGCCAACGCTTAGGCTGGGAACATGGGAAGTTGCTTGAGACGTAACGGTTCAGTTGTATTACACACTTACAAAGAAATGTTGGACAGCCGTGTCACGAAATATTGGAAAGCCGAGTCACCCGAGTTGTTAAGCTGAACATTTTTTACAATATATAGTTCATGCAATTGCAAGGGCCCCCACTATTTGGCTTGATGGATGGCTTGCACGATGGGTTTACGAGTAAAAATGGCGAATAATAAATCGACTGCAATCGTCAAGCCGCACACGAAAATAATGTAAAAAACTACGGTTCAAAACCCAGACAAGCCGTGCCTTGGACCGGATTACCATAGCGGGTATCGTCTTCTCAAAATGAATGACATGTCCTAAGCCGGTTGCTGTTGGTCCCTGCAGTCGCTACGAAACGAGCATCTATTGAATAATTTAGACGGCGGACGTCGATTGCATGCAGGCTGCAACACAGTCCACGCCAGAATATGGGACAAAGCAAACAGCAGGTGGCCAACGGACGGCTGTGGCCGACGGACGGCTGCGGCGCCGCCGGCTCGGGCGGTGACCCATGTGCAGGGGCACAGCACGGTCCCCCGCCTGTGAGCTGATGCCGGTGGCCGCTGGCCGGCGGCGGCGCCGCAGACGTACGGGGTTACGGCGTTACGTTCGGCTCATGAACGGGGGCCTAACGAGCAGGGCGCATGGCCGAACGTGGCGCACTACGTGCTTTTGTAGTGTCGACTTCGTTTTTCACCAAAATGTTTGAGGGTTGTGGCTGGGTTTTTACTTACTTGTCAATGCTTTTCACAAGAGCGGTGGCAATACGCCGATGTGTTAGATGAAAGCAAGCCTCCGGTACGTCGTAGTGAATCGCAAACATTCATTCGGACAGCCATGATACTGCGCATCTGTTGAATTCGTATGTCTTATGGATTGAGACGACCGCGTCGTAAATGTCGGCATTATCTGTTATTGATGCGTGTTGCATTAAGTTACGTCATCCATGTCATTTGATTATGAAATGGGAAATGATATTCAAAACAGTGTTGTTTTGGTGTTCTTTAAAGTGCGTCCGGGTGATTAGTTAAATACCCTTGGCGCAGGTGGGGGTCAATTTGTCCCCGTGAGATGAAGTGCCCAAAACCTTCTCATGCAATCGCCTTGAACCTAGATAGCTGTTAACCGCAAAATGACACTAGTTTTTATGCACGGCTAGTGACCTATTTTGCTTTCAGAAAATGAAGATAGGCAAAAATCTAGGAGATTGCCTCTACTTTGTCATTTTAATAGTGCCAGAGACCGCGCTAGGCGGTATGTTCCCAAAGCCAAGCGTTGACTTGGGTGATTTCAGGTCAGCGACCTTCTCTGGTCTTTAAGAAGTCTATAGAACATGTTTGTTGCGGTCCCTGTTATTAATACATTCCAAATGAGCAGCAATAACTACCAAAAAGCAAGCCCTTGAGTGAAAAGGAAGGTTAGTTTCGGCCTCGGTCTGAAGTTTATATCTGGACCTACGTCAATTTTTGTTTTCTTACAATTATAAATTTCATGGCTGTATTACCCACGAAAATATTTCAGAGATGCAGGGCCTCGTCTAAAACTCCGTTGTCAAATCAGATCAAACGATTCTTTAGAAAATCCCTTCACTGACAGCCACGGCCATACTTTGATCTGCCATAGGTCAATGACCCCACAAGGCACATCGCACGTTTATACAAAAGATCTGATATCTAATTACCTACAGCCGTGCAAAGTTTGGCGCGGCTACGGCGTGCCGTTCAAAAATCATCCAGGAAAAAACCTTTGGGGTCAAATTGACCCTCTCGCCCAAGCGCGAGTTGAGCCTATTCTCAGATGGCTGAACGGTAGCGGCGATTCCCAGTAGAAACGGGCCGTCGGTATAACTTTGTAAACGACATCGGTCATCCGTCGTTTTTGCGTAGTCAATTTCGATAAAACATAAATGAGAGAGAAGGGAATTTGGGAAGCTGAGTCATTACAAAAAGGGGGCTAGCAATAACCCGTTGGTAGTTCAGGTTCTGAAATATGGGGCAGGGTTTATCAATAGGGTTCTCTAATATCAAAAGCCATATCTAATACGAGTTGTGCATTCTAAAAAAGCTTTGTGTTTCACAGAAGCATTGGTTTGGGGCGACGCAGTGATCTGGAAAAAAACAATGAAAGGCAACTTAGTTGCACCGATTGTAAACACAATGTTAACACAATAACATATGTTTATAATCCCGCAATACCCTAACTGTTCTATAAAAAAGGTATGGCTTTAAAAACTTAACTAGCCAGATCCAGCCTTCCCATCGGCCCTCCCCCCCCCCATCACCCCCACTTAGCGGGAAGTGTTGAATCCGTTGTTTCAAGGTGTGCCATCAATGCATTGTGACCATCAGTACATTGATCAAAACCATCCTGCAACAGCAGCAACAGTATCGCATAACCTAAATCGGATCAGGTGCAGTTAAAGTGTTCGAATGGAGATAAATGGTCAGATGTAGGGATCATACACAAACATAACCTAACTTCACTCATGACGGAGAAGGCCCATTAGTCGTGCTTGTGAATAAGACAAAATGAAATGAAATGAAACGCTTAGCGCTTCCTTTGCAGGGCCAAGTTAAAATAATTTGTGGTCAGTGAGGCGACCTTTTCTCGGACAGACGGGACTTGTATGGCCACAATAAATTAACAGCTGTTACTGCCAGACCAGCTCGCCTCGAATACAACAGAAGTATTGCGTAGGCCTCGTTATTGGTCACGTACGTAGCCAAAATTTACCCCCGCGGGGGAGAGCGGTAAATGTCCAATTTTCGCTAAAGCCCCGTGAATTAAAAAAAAAATCATGCGAAACATCCTATTATCTAGTGAAAGCCTCATGACTCAGGGAGCGGGGGGGGGGGGGGCTGTTCGTGGCTGCGTCCCTGATATGCATAATCGAGTCTGATGGTGTTATGTCTAAATTGCTTCTCCAAGCGAGGACAACATGCGAAGGTGTATGTTTTCTTTAAAAGAATTCCTCCGTGGCTTTCAAAAACGAAGTTATCGAACAGTGCATTAACTAAAAACGTATCTATACACATAGCACAAACATTTTATGCACGAACGTCTACTCCGCAGAGGTCGGTTGGGTTCGTTCGGATCCCAGCCACTTTTTAGAAAAATGGGCTGTAGTCGTGTTTTGCCCACATAAAGTAGCATCACAGCGGACTGGCCGAGTCCCTGTAGCCCCTAGCTCATGGTTCCACCCCTAATTGCCTAGTGCGCCAGCGTAACTATGAGCAGGCTCGTTGTGTTGGAACACGGTCTGAAATGTGCATGGACCTCAGAATTGAGGACATAGCGCATGCCAGAGAAGGGCACTGGCTTGGCCCGCAAGAACTTGCAGACGAAGCGTTGCCCTTGCATACAAATATGATTCCGACCGACGAGAATTACACGGTCAGTGAACGCGCTGTAAACCGACAATGGTCCATTTCAACGTTGATGATTCATACGTGCCGGGCCCGGGCGCCACGGTTAGTTCCGCCGTCAGCCGCCAGGGCGGCGGTGGCGCTGCTGGCGGACGACGTACCGGCGCGGAGCCGTGTATGGGGACGGCGCCGGCGGCCAGCTGCTGCATCAGCGCGTTCTTGAAGGCCAAGTTGTTCCTGCCGTTGATGAGCAGCTGCTCCTTGAGGTGCTGCGGCGGGTGGAAGTACTTGCAGGGAGGCTTCTCGCGGTTACACCGACCCTGCGGCAGGAGGACATGTTCTCAGCCGGTGGTAGCTGCGGCTCGGCAAAGGTCAGCACAGACTCGTTAGCGCGCAAGAGAGGCTCGCATTGTGCTGTCACTCGGGCACCTCGTTTTGTCAGGTGCAGCGACTTCCTATACCACCTCGTTGACGGGTTCAGGGTCTGATGTCGGTGATTCCTTACAGGGATAGCGTGCGCCGAGCTGGAGCTCCACTGATGTGCATATAGCCGAACTTTAGTAACACTTTGGCTCGTATCAGTTTCGCGAAACTCTTCCTCTGAAATTTCCCGTCATTTCGTACTTTGCTTTGCAGAGAGAAAAATCAGCATCCATGATCAGCTTGGAAAAACTGTAGTCATCATCAAGCTCACAGCATGTAATATCAAGTGGTTACAAAGTCATTCAGTGGTCTTTGCCAACTCTTGCTGATAAATAGTACGAAGCACGTCCTCCCGCATCTTTTATGGAGCGCCAGCTACTGCAGAGGGCATATCAGCGCTAAGGAAGCATGGAGCATCCGGGGATCGAACCCGGACTATTCACGTTGGAGCCGAGGGCGCTACCGGCCATTTAATTGGATACATTACAGCATGAAGCAGTCATATAAAAACATGATGTGAGAGTCAAACATTATTACTGATGTTCACTACATGGCACTGTTTAAGAGCGATGTTTTTAGTAGTGGCATTGATCGTGTAAGTTTGTAGCTCCGGTGATGCAGGTTTGAAAGTTTTTTTTGCGAGAAATCGCTACCAATAAATCGAAAACAAGCAGAACAACTGTACACAAATATGCCAATAACTGACATAGTTTTGATTCTTCTCGGAGTATGTCCGGTTCGCTGAAACCAGAAATGCACATGCCGACCAGATTGGGTTACCACTGCATGGGGCTGGGCTACCATGCGCTACAGCGCCAGGGGAACGCGAGCCGTTCCTACAGCGGGCCATGTCTAGACGGTATACACAAACCAGCAGTAGTGCGAGACTCGGTCAAGAAGGGGCACGCATGAGTGGCCAGTACAGGATGACTCAGGGGATCCCGACACGTTGGGCAATGGAGAGAGCCACCACCGACCAGACGCAGTCGGCGGTGTACCTGGCTTCCACTCACTCCGAACTCATTTCATACCCACTGGGCATACGTTTAACAGACCGCACCTTGACAGTCGCTCGCAGTTCTCTGGTCGTGTCACGTGTGGCGACGCATGAATGCAGCAGACGTCTCGTTCAATTCATGCCACATAACAAGTATCCCACACAGATCATTGCTCTTCTGCCATCAAATATCCACGCATTTCGTTGCTACTTCATCACGCCCATGATTCTTCATGCCTAAATAGGAGCACTACTGTTAAGTGTGTGTTAAGCTGTTCGGTCATGTCACTGCATGAGTGCAGCCGCCGTTTAAAAGGAATGTCACTCGATAACTGCACCTGTCGCCATTACTGCCGCCCTGCTGACGACAGGTGCCCTGAGTCGTGCAGTAGCAGAGCGCCGGCACCATGGCCGCCCTGCTGACGACAGGTGCCCTAAGTCATGCAGTAGCAGAGCGCCGGCACCATTGCCGCTCTGTTGACGACAGGTGCCCTGAGTCGTGCAGTAGCAGAGCGCCGGCACCACTGTCGCCCTGCTGACGACAGGTGCCCTGAGTCGTGCAGTAGCAGAGCGCTGGCACCACTGTCGCCCTGCTGACGACAGGTGCCCTGAGTCATGCAATAGCAGAGCGCCGGCACCACTGTCGCTCTGCTGACGACAGTTGCCCTGAGTCGTGCAGTAGCAGAGCGCCGGCACCATTGCCGCTCTGCTGACGACAGTTGCCCTGAGTCGTGCAGTAGCAGAGCGCCAGCGCGAGCTGTTACGCTACCAGCACCCTGCCTCGATCAGCAACACGTTGCATGACAGCATCCGAGCGTCATTTGTTTGAGGCATTCTTGAATCGTTAACCGTTGTCACCATTGGTCATCTTTTGAAGTTTTTGAATCACCGAGTGATGATCGTGAGCCATCAATGGCCGTGACTAGTCCCTTCGATGTCTTCGCCGCACATATATAGATAGGCTTGCTTTCCATTGCTA